AAGAAATCAAGACTATAAAATAGCAGCCTTTATGCAGGAAAATTCTTATAGAAAATATGTTCTACTGTAAAAGCATCATCTCTCTTTATGATATTGATGGTTTCAGCATCAACACTAGTAACTAATAATTGTGGAAAGAAATGAGAGATAAAAACCCTACTGCAAAGGTTGAGCTCCAAATTCACTATGCTATTTACGTTTTTTTCTTTTTTGAGAGCTCACACTCTCAAGTCTTGCCTCCTACCTCTCTGCTTCTCACTCCCTGCACTTCAGACACTAAAACGTCCTCCAATTCTTCAAAATCATCATGTTCCTCTCTCCTCAGGACATTTACCTGTCCCATTCCCTCTACTAGAATGGACTAGCTGTCCACCCCTCATCCTTTAGAGGTTTCAGCCTCAAAAGTCAATTGCTCATAGACCTTCCCTGACTGACCTCCTTCCTTGTCAGCCTGGGTTAGGCTTCTCATTTGCCGTCTCCACAGCATTTATAGCAAAAATAATTGTTTGCTTAATGGATATCTGCTCCACTAGACCCTAACCACATGAGTTCAAGGACTGAGTCAGTTTTGTTCACTGCTGGATCTCCAGCACCTAGCACAGGGCTCGATAAACAGAAAGTAAAAAATTCTTGTCAAATGAATAACAGAGCTAAAAACCATCAGCTTCAGCAATTCTACTTATAATTTACCCTACAGATATAGTCACATGTGCAAAGGGCCAAATATACATGATTATTCACTGGAGCACAGTTTGTAATTAGCAAAAGACTGGAAACATTTAAAATGTCTACCAGTATAGGGCAGGTGCCAGATCTCTCTATTGCTTATACAAAATGATTGCTAAAATATGTTTTTTAAAAATGCAGATGGTATAGTTAACTGTGTAAATGTATTGTCTATTTAAAAAACAAAATTTGCTAAAGACAGTCCTGTCCTTATTTCTAAGACTGATGGAAAGAGTTTAAATATCTCATACTGGGATCTTTGATGACAAACATCCTGCCTAATAGCTGAGCATTGGGAAGGTAGAAGTGAAAAGAAGGAAAACTCACTTACCCACAAATCTCAGACAGCCTGCCCCATACTAGAGGTACCACTTTCAGAGAAAATTCCATTTTGTTTTTATAGCCAATTGCCCCAATACAGACATATGTAGAATGTTTTCAGTCAGAAGGAATCAGTGGGAGAAAAAAAAGGGATTCAGCGTTTCTATAAGCATAGAAAGTAGGCTGATAAATTTGTACTAAATAAATATAAATACTGACTTTAAAAAAAACATCATTTTCACTGAGTGGGCCTCAAAATTTAAATGGAGCTTAATTTGAACCCACTAAGTTTAAGAAACTAAAAAATTTTTTAAACCAATTATAAGAATGAGGGGAAAGCTACACACATTCCTTAGATGCACAGATTTGCCAAACTTTAAGACATTCTTCAGGAAAGAACTATCTGAAACCAAACACAATTCCAATAATCATATTTGTTACCACAATCAAAGCTCTGGACCAAAGTCAAAACCTTTAGATCTGAACCTAAGTCTCCCAAACATGCTTTTCAGGAATGGAATACTCCGGGCTAACGATGACAGGAGAAAGCTGAATCCAAGGCCAGCAAGAGGAGGATCTGTTGTCCTCTTCTTGGGGTTCCTTCTCCTTGTCCTTGGGTTATCTCCAAAGTTACAAGGGCCACCGTCATATGCTGCAAGAAATGGTCTTCATAATCTGTCTCAAGACCTACGGGAGACACAGTTATCTTCAACTAATTATCCCTTGAAAAACCAACAGGTATTTACCAATTAAAACACACTGAAAAGGGCACCTGCTAAACAGAACTAAGTATTTAGAATAGCCATTTTAAATTGTTCTAACTTTGGCAAGCCAGAAGCCAATCCTGGCTCCCCTATTTGATAATTTGCCTGATAACAGGCTTCTCACAGGTTTAGTCAAAATCTTAATAGATCTAAGACTAATACCGACACTAGCAAACTTCACCTATTTTCCCTGTTAACCGTTTTTCTCCATAAAGTTCTAGTCAGTTTTTTATTACAATGCCTGTATAATAATACCAAGAAGCACTCATGAGTTTAGCCTGTGGCTCCCCAGGCAGGCTCAAAGGCTTGGGAGTGAGAATGGGGCAAAAAAAATGTCGGAAATACCCTCTCTTCTTTAATGCCCTGGACTTTGAAAGCTAGGCAAAGGCAATGATCTGAATTTAATCGTCATATGGAGAAGAGTCAGGTCTGAATTGAGAAGGGACATAAAGGAATGCAAGAATATTCAGTCAAGAGCACTGCCTCTATTTCCTTGCAGAGCAGGTCTCAGAATCTGCCAAAGAACCTCATTTTGACGTGCAACACCCCATCCACTCTAATCTGGGGCATATCCCTCCAGAAACAGTCAGTCAACCGGAACTCTGCCAACTGCTGCTGGGAGTTGTGTGAAGAACAGCAGCAACAAGAGCTTACTTTGAGGAGAACAGCAATCACATTCGAGAAGAAAAGAAGTTATTTGGCAAAGGGAAGCATGTTGCCAAAATGTTAGTCACAGCTTCAAGGTCCCAGTTTGGGTCTCTGAAACTATTCTTTGCCTTGACAAAGTTCATTCTCTGGCCCAGGAAACCCAGCTCAGCTTCTGTCACTCCCCCCATTTGAAGCAGTCAAGATTCCTTTCAATTTGATGGTATCAAACTGTGACACAGGCAAGATGTCTACCAGAGACTTTTTTTTTTAAAGGAGGGGGAAAAATGTGTAATTTGCCATTTTCCATTTAGGGCTGGCCCAAGCACGGCAATGGAAAAACGTGACAGGATAGGAAAAATGGAAAATCATTATGTTAAAGAAGGTTATATGCCAAAAGCCCAGAGCTCTGAGCCTCCACAACTTATTCCAAAACCGTCTTCAAAATAAACCAGAAGGACACACTATCTGCTGAAATGACAGCAAAATATTAAGCAGGTTTTCACCCCTCAATAAGTGTATATACTTCATAGCCTGAAGCTCTTCCAAGGGTTAGCATAAAGACTCTGGTTTGCTAAAAAAGCATGAACCATCAGCCCATTTCAGAATTACTTAAGAGCAATGGAAAAACAGAGTCAAGTACACCAGGTTATTCTCCCAATCAAAGAACACAAAGAAGTCAAGAAAGAACATCTGACGATTTTCTCAACAGGAACGATATTCCTCTGTTCCCTTCCTAAAAGCCATCAGTAAAACCTGAGAACTCTACTGTTCTCCACACCACACCTTCCACCTTCCCCTGCACTTCATCTCTGTGCTGACATCACATAACTAATCGGTACCAACTGAAGTAAACACTAGTCTGATAGCAAGTATGAGGCAGAATTAGGAACTGTCCCGTCTTACGCAAATCCACGTCAGGTATCAGCTATGCCAAGACTTTCAGGAACACTCCTTCTAAGCTAAACAAGTTCACCTACTGGCAAAGTGTTGAGAGTATTATGTCCAAAGAAAAAGCTAAAAATGTCAAGATTTCAAAGGATTAACAACAAAGAAGCTAAAATTATCCACAATCACACTGTTCCCCACCAACTGGCAACAGGCCCAAAATGCCTGGACCAAAGCAAAAGGCTCAACTGTCTAAGATACTATTTTGCAGTGAATTCTCAAAGAATTAATGAGGAAAGTCAGTGTTTGTCAAGAGTGAAATACTCTGGCAAACAAAACACTGCATTCTTTGGAATTCTCCATCAACCAACCTCATTCACTCCCAACTCTAACTTCCCTATCTCCATCTTAATGGCAACCAATACAATGTAACAGAGAAACTCGAAATTTTGGGCTACTGAAAGTTGACTTTTAGAAAGTTAAAAAAATTGGATATGTAGCAAATCAAAACCAACTATTCCCTGGCACAAAAAACGCTGCAACGCTGAGTGGAAGGAACCAAAAAAGCCGTGCCTTGTATCAATCTCTCAATCTTGTTTTCAGAGATCACTTCCTGCATTTCTTTAAAGATCCTATTTGATTAACATACTCTTTTAGAGGCAGAGAAGGACCAAGCCTATATTTCAAGAGACAGTTTAATGATTTGCCTCAAAGTTACTTAGTAAATCCACAGGTGGACAGAATAGTTTTTATTTCCTGAGGTTCTCTTGTGGTTTGTAAAAACAAAAAATTCACCAACAACATTCAGTAGCTCGTTCAGAAACTGTAAAGCAAAAATAACATTGTGAAAAAGAAGATGGATCCTGGGGTGGGAGGCCCAAAGCAGTAACAGATTATTCAAATCCCTTTAAAAATACGAATTCCAGTACACACCACCTTCTTTCAGCTCCTCACTCCAGTGTTACCTTTTTAGAATTTTCCTTCCTGATCAGTAACTCAACACACACTGCCCACGTTTAACACTAAGATTTTAAACTTCCTTTACTGCCCACCACTCCAACCTGAACCCTCAACTCTAGGCTGCTACCATGCACTTCTCAACGTTTCTCAGCCCAATCTTTAACTCAATTCCGAATTCTGCTCAACTAACGCTCTCAAGATTCCTTCCAGTGTAAAGCAGTTTCCCGAGCCATCCTCTCAACCACTGGTTTTCACTCAACTCAATCCCCAAAATGTAACAGTGGCCTCCTCACCCATGGCATCTTCTAATTATCCGTTCCCAACAGGTCCTCCCTCCCCATCTCCCTTCCCGCGCTCGGGTACCACGTTTCCCATCCCGGTGGCCGTCTTACTCACTTTATCCAACCCCTCAGGATCCCTTATTTCCCGTCTCTCAATAACGTTCCTCCCGGTATTCCCAGTCAGAGCTCGCCCCACACCATCCCAGACCACTCCTCCCTACTTACACTCCCCACGCCCCCTCTTTCAGGTTCTGCAAAACCAACATTCGGTCCCCTTCCCCTCAGACCCCGCCCCCAGGCCCCCCTCCCTCAGGCCCCTCCTCCAATTTCCCCATCTCTCCTCAAGCCCCGCCCCAGTGCCCCCTCCCCTGGCTCTCCCTCCCACTCAGGTCCGCAGGTCATCTCAGCGACGGACCCAGCCTTCCTGGACTCCTTCCAACCCGGCCACAGCTGCTCCGGGAGCGAATCCTCCGCCACCTCCGCTCCGGCTTCGTCCGGACCTGCTAGCGACCCGGCAAGCTTCCTCTCTCACCGCCGCCGCCCCTTTTGCCAACCCGGAAATGGATGTGCTCCCACTGTCCCCAGCGTCCGCGAACAAAATGGAGGCGGGGGAAAAAGGAGGAGGGAGCAGGGGGCAAAGAGACGCCACACGCATGCGTCTCTTGAAAGTCCGTCCCCTACCGGGCGCACGTAAAGGCGGAAGCGATCCTGTTGCCGCCATCTCTGGGAGGTCGTAAGAATTGCGCTTTGCTTCTGAAACGGTTTGCAGCTTGGGCTGCAATTGGAGTCTCCTGGGAAGGCTTTTAATAAATAGTGGTTCCTGAGTTCCATCCCCCGAGATTCTGATTTAACCGGTCTTGGGTATGGCCTAGGCATTGGTACTTATAAAATTGCGCAGGTGATTCCAATATGTTGCCGAGGTGGAGAATCATTGAGTTTAACACTCTTGAATATGTTTCTATCTTTATTCCATCCCGCGCGCTCACACATACACACTACCATAACTTCGAGTTAAAGAAGGGTGGGCTTCAGAAAAAGAAGGCTGGGCCTCAGACAACCTTGCAAGGGCCCGGTAGTCAAGCTCCGGTTGTCATAGCAACAGAGAGGCAGGCGTCTGCTAACAAGTCATCTTTAATGCCATCTTAGCCACCTAACCCGACAAACACCCGTGAACACCTATTTCTTCTTCCGCGGGCGGGGTGTTCTCCAACTCCCAGGGCTGGAGGACGGTGCTTCGGACCCCTCCAGCTGCTGAAGTCACGGAGAGGAATCCTGTGGCCTCTGGTGGGACTGCTGTTAACTCCTTCCCAGCTGAGGATGTCTCCCTAGTCCGCTCACAAAAGCGCTTTCCCACTGCAGCTAACCCCATTGCCTTATATCCTCAAAACATTCTTTGGGTTTCTCCATCCTTCCTTGTGTTGAATCCGTAGTGAGGGCACAGAATTGGGACTTAGGTCCCACTACTTACTAGCTATGTGCTCTTGGTCCTCAGCTACCCTATCTGTAAAACGGGGCTAATAATGCCTTTCTTAAGTGTTTCATTGAGTAGTTGGAAAGCTCAAATCAGATAATTAGTGGGAAATCACGTGATAAGCCTTGTTGTTATTTGTTTTCCTTCTGTACTGCTATGAATAGTGCTGGGCACCACCCACTAGTAAAGTATATGTCACGGTATTCATCGAGTACCTGCTGTGTGTGGGCCAGGCACTGGGCTAGGCACCAGGAGATAGCTGCAGAGTTGACTAAGACAGAACCTATCCCTCAGAGAACCCACTGAGTGGTGGACAGACTGGCATGTAAACAGCTAGCTGTGATGCGAGTCAGCATGTGATTACTGCTGTGGGGACATAGGTGCTATGGGAAGTCAGACAAGGGAGTGATTAATTCTTGCTAAACAATGGGAGAAGTTTTCATAAATGGGTTTGAACTAAGCCTCTAAAGATGAGTAGAACTTTATTACCAATCAGAGAAGGCAGGGAATACACTCCAGGCATAGGGATCAGTGGGTGCAAAGGTAAAGATTTTCAGGTGTGTAGTCCTGCATGTCTGAAGGTGGGGTGAGTGAGCCAGGGAGATGATGAACCCAAACTCTCAGATCCTCAACTGCAGCTCTATTCTGTCCTCTCTTCCCTCACTATACGTTGTGTGGACCTGCTTTCTATCGCTGCAGTGCACCAAGTATTTCCTCACGGCCTTTTATAAGTTGTATTCTGCCTCTTCCTCATTTTCCAGGCTTTTCACATGTCTCCTTCCCAGAGGGCACTCCCAGTCCACTGTAGCTAATGTAAGCCCCCCATTCTCTATAACACCACTATGTGGTAAGGGCAGTCACTGGAGTGGAATACAGGAACATTTCACCCAGACTTGGGGATACAGGTGTGTAAGCTTCATGAAAGTAACATCGAAGTGAGGCCTGATGGGTAAGTAGGAATGGGCCAGGGGTGGAGAGGAGAGAAAGCATTCCGGGACAGAGAGAGAGTATATGCAAAAGCAGAAGAATTATGACGCGTTCCAAAACCTGAGAGCATTTTGGTGTGGTTAGAGCTAGAACTGATGGGAAAGGCAAGGAATTAGGTCAAGGACGTAATCAGAGCATCTGACATTTATTAGCACCTTGTTACCATGTAACATTGTCATAACTTCACCTGTTGTAACTCACTTAATTTCCACAATAACTTTCTGAAGTAGGTGTTATTACCCCATTTTATAAGTGGACAAACTGAGAAAGCATAGTCATCTTGCCCAAAGTTACATACCTACAAACTAGCAGAACTGTTTTCAAAGTCTGTGCTCTTCATGCCCATACTTCATGCCAAAGTCTGTGCTCTTCATGGCCCTGCATTTTAATTTGTAATGTGAGTTCCCAATATCGTGAATGATTCTTTATAAAGCTCTGAGCAACACAAAAAATCACAGTAGTTTTATTATTAGCAAATAGAAATTTATAATTCCTAGAAAATAGAATATATTCAATATATGCAAAAATATTTCATATTTGTACTTTCCTTTTCTGATAATATAACAGGCTAAGTCCCTGGGGGGACTTCTCCCTAAAAACAACTGAAATCCTGGATAAAATACAAAAAAATACTTTAAAGGTTTTAATGAAAAAGGAAGGAATTTTCAGGGCAAAACAAAGTAAGTGAAGGCACGGGTGTAGAGAGAAGTAAATGGAACACTGAAGTAGACTTTTGCTCTAAGGACACTTGCCTAACTAGGTGAATGTCAGTTTTTGTCAGTATCTGTGGGAAAAAGGAAACACCCAGAACCATTTTGACAGGGGAGTTTAACAGGAGATTCACCATCATAAGGATGGGACCCCAAAGGACTACATCCTCATGTAAGATGTAGGCATGAGCCAGAAATAAACCTGTCCCCTCTTTGGGGGTGGGGTTAATGGAGGTAGATTCTAGGCTCAGATAATAGATTTGTCACATGGAATATCCAGTAGGACATTGAAAGCCATGTGGAACCCAGGAGAATTCTTGGTTGTGTGGATCCATCCATCATATTACAAAACTCCAGCATCCCTGACCCTGCCCACCAAATACCAGTAGCACATCCTACTCATTGTGATAAACAAAAAGGCCTCCATGATTTCACAAAACGCCCCCGTGGAGAACCACTGTCAAATTGACAGGAGCCGATTTGCAGAGGACTCTGTTCTGTGCTGTGGGAAGTTATATTTTATCTTGAAAGCAAGAGGGAAACCACTGAAAGGTTTGAGCAGTGAGTGCCATGACCCACTTTGCCTTCTAGAAAGATGCCTCTGACCGCAGCACAGAGGATGGATGCAATAGGGCCAGGCTGGAGGAAGGAATCCCTGTTGGGAGGCTGCTGTGAACATCAAGGTGAGAAGTGATGGTTGCCAGCTGAGTGGCAGCTGGGCACCATTTGGACACAGAGCTTTGGAGGAAGGGTTGCCTGTCCGCAGAGCCAAAGGCCTTAACTCTCAGTTCTCCCCGCTACTGAAAAGGTGAGACTTCGGGCAAGTTATTCAACCTCTTACCAGCCACAGGCTTCTCATCTGTAAAATGGAGATCAGACTACATGAAATACGTCTGAAGTGTGTACACACCTAGAAACCACTCACTAATCTTAGCCATGATCACTCACTATTAGGGCATCAGCAGTGGTGATGGAGAAAAGTAATTGTAAAGATATTTTAAAAATGGAATGTGAGGGCTGAGGAGAGGGAGGAGCCAAAGATGATTCCCAAATGGGAACCTTGGACTCCTGTGTGATGATGCTAACACTTAGCGATGAGGAGGAAGAGGGGCTGAGACCATGAGGGGGCCTGAAGAGCCTGCTGGGGGCTGAAGGGAAGAGGATTCCAGTAGGCCCCTGGATGTTTGGGTCTGGAACTTAGAAGAGCAATTCCATCAATTTGGGACTCAAACTGTGGTAGCTAATCTCCAAAGATAACCCCCATTAACCCAGGACTCTTGTATTAATTGACTCTGGGCTGGCCTGTGACTCCCTTTAATGCAGAAGTGGTGCTGTGCCAGATCCAGAATTAAGCTTTCTGGAAGACCTGTCAGTTTCCACTCTCACTTTTGGGACTTCTAAGCTCCCTTGCAAGAAATCAGCTACTCTACTGTAGGACCTTCTGGAGGGAGAGATCTTGACAGGGAGAAAGAGAGGTCCAGCTGCCCTAGTATTCCAGCTGTCACCATCAGAGTGGGAGGCAAGTGAGCCAGCCCTGTTGGACACTCCAGCTCCAGTTACCTTCTGACTGCAGCCACACGAGACTCCCCAACTGACACAGAACTGTCCAGCTGAACCCCCATCTACCAGAGGAACATGAAACATTATGAAATGTTGGGTGTTTTAAGCCACAGAGTTTAGAATAGTTTGTTATGCAGCAAAGGGTCCCCAAAATTATTTATTATATTAAATAGAAAACTTAATGATGAAATCTAAGCTCAGATATATAGAGAGCAAAGAAGAGAGCTTAGGACAGAGCCAAGGAACTCCAAGTGCAAGGACCCAGTGGAGGCAGAAAGCCTGCAAGGGAGAATGAGAGAGAAAGGAGAGGGAAGACCTGAGAGCATAGTGTCCTGGAAGCAGCAGTGACTGTTCAAGAAGGAAGAATGGTCAGAAATAGCAAATGCCAGAGAGAAAGAACGTGAGATGGGCTCCCTTGGATTTGGTAACATGGGAGTCAATGTCCTTGACAAGAAAAGTTTCAGTGAGTTGTGAGGGTGGAAGAATGCCAGATGCACTAGGGAATGAAAGGGAAACAAAGTTACAAAACCAAACAAACTAGAGTTCCATATATTTTTTTAGAGTTAGACATTGACCTGGATGCATCTCACAAGCATAATGCTGCAGGCGGAGGGAAGTTGTTGGACTACATCCAGTATGGCAGTATTTATATAAAGTTGAAAAACATGTAAACATTTAAAAACTCTTAAAAGTCAGTAATAGAATGGGATTAAAGATGGCGGCGTGAGAGGAGAGACAGAGGCTTCCTCCTAAAACTGGATACAATTAGAAAATTTAATTGGCGCAAGGACAGCATCCGACTGCACACACCTGGTGAAAAGAGCAGACCTCAGCAAACGAGGTAACGTACCAGCGCTGTGGCTCCGAGGGACCCGAGCCCCTCCCCCACCCCAGCTCACCCCTCACCCGCGGGAGGAAGACAAACAGAACCGGGAGGGAGTGGAAGGCTTGGGACTGCCGAATACCTAGCTCCAGAGATCTGCGCTGGGAGCACAAACCTACATT